GAATGAAAACTAATGAGAGGCATTTTATATGCTTAGTTTACTATTTTAGCCTTAATTTTGTTGGTATTTGCATGGATAAGATATGATTTTCAATAAATTTTATATAATTTTCATTATTTGCGCAAAAAAAATACTAAGATGTATAATAGTAAGAGTTTTGGGGATTAATTGAAATTTTTTAAAAGTTTAGGGACGAATTACAAGCAGAAAGTTCCTTTTTTGGATGTAAATAAATGAATATTAAGTTTAGTATTAAGATGCTCATCATAAAAAAGATGGAGGACCAGAACTGCCATTTTACCATTGAAAAAATTGGAAAAAAAGGGTCAAAAACCCGATGCGGATTTGATTCCGGCGCATGGTTGACCATGGGTGAAATCATATAATCTTAAAATTTCAACTTCTAGCATTGCTTAAAGTCAATTTAAGTTTTTTTTCAAATTAGTTTAGTTAATTAGTTTATTTAAATTATTTAATTATAGTTGTTCAAATAAAAATAAAATTAGTTAATTTTAACAATTAATTAATCTATCATCTCAGTGCACAATACCAAGATTTTTATCATTATATTATTTAAATGGACTAATATTCTTATTAAAGTGAAATTAGCTCTTCAGGTTTTTGGGGTTGCATGGGTTGGATTCAATTGTAACACTTTCTTTAACTATTGATAATATAGTAAAAAATTAGGGTCTTGACTAATTTTTTGCCTAATAAATTGTGATTGCATGTTAGAAAAAAGTGATACAATATGTGTGGTGGCTATAAGTGATAGAAAAGCCCAGGAGCTACCTATTTATGTGTTTATATAACTCTATTGATACCTTATGAGAACTACTATTACTGTGAGGTTTTTAGTACTTAATTATTTAGATATATCATAAGTATTATTTCTTTGTATTAATGTTATAGGAATTTTTTAGTGTTTTTATTTTGAACACTAAATGATATACCTTTATATTTAATACACTATATAATATATTTATTAAAAAATTATTATTTTTTATATAAAATTAAAAGCAGATAAATTTAAAGATATAATTATATATATGACATGCAAGAACCAACTAAATGGCAAAAAGGGTGTATTAGCCTATGTACTTTTTAAGCTACTTGAAGTCTATCCCTCTACTTAAAAAAAAAAATTTAATTAACATACTTTCATGTTGGAATAAATTAATTCACATATTTTTTTATTAAAATAAATCAATTTAAATTTAAAAGATAACGTCATGCCACATCACATTTTCATGAAATCCATTTCAAGCC